GTCCACGTATTGTTGTCGTTGTCCCATTTTCACGTATTTTATGTATGTATTTGTTGCCTTCTCCCGCCTTACATGTTCAACCTACGGTTCTCTATCCCCGATGCTTCCCGCCTTCCAGGCCCCCCGTTGCCGGGCATGCTTAGCAAGTAATAGCAGCGTAGGCCACTTGATCCTTGTCGTCCTCGTGTTCCTCTTCCTCGTCCTCTTCGCCGCTCTCCCCCTCCTCTTCCTTCTCCTCCACCTCCTCCTCCCAGTCCTCCCTCTCCTCTTCCTCCCCCTCCGCCACCCCCTTCTCCCCCTCCACCCGTACTGTCAAACTTCCCCTCATCAAATTCTTTGATCCCCCCACCTCTTCCTCTTCTCCCAATCCCATCATCAAGTCGCTTCTTCTCCCTTTCCCATCAGAGTCAGTAAGGAAAGAAATATGAAACCACCATAGCCTGTTTCTGCCCCTTTTCTCGATTCCTGACACCATCATGATCTTACCTTGTCCTCGCAGAACGTGTTCCTTATCTTTCATCTCCATCATCATCTTCATCATCACTTCATCAGTCAACATTGTCATGGTGGGGTGCTTGGTCTCTCTCTCTCTCTCTCTCTCTCTCTCTCTCTCTCTCTCTCTCTCTCTCTCTCTCTCTCTCTCGCTCGCGCTCTCTCTCTCTCTCTCTCTCTCTCTCGCGCGCGCGTGCGCGCGCGCGCACACGCGCGAACGCGCAAACGTGTACACACACACACTTCATGTGTTCATGGGAACCCCCCCAAAAAAGCATCACTGTGCCAGACTGTTTCGTTGGACTTTCACCAACTCAGCAGAAGGTTGAGCCCCGACAGTCTGCCCACAATGCAGTTGCGTGCATGCATGCGTGAGGGTGTGTGCATGCACGTGCATGTGTTTGTGTGTGTGCTTGTGCCGACGGGCAGGCGGGCGGGGCCATGAGTGCGTTTTGTCAAGTTCGCCGCGTGCATGCGTGTGTGTGTGGGTGTGTGCATGCATGTGCATGTGTTTGTGTTTGTGCTTGTGCGGACGGGCGGACGGGCGGGGCCATGAGTACGTGTTGTCAAGTTCCCTATACACCATGTCGCTGCGCCGCCCAAGATAGAGCATCCGCTGTGACCCTATACACCACGTCGCTGTGCCGCCAAAAATAGGGTCCATCGCCGCGTCTGCTTTTCAACAGGCGCGACAATCCAGGCCGCCCGTGGTCCTACCGGGCCGATGGCTAGGATCGTCGGGCCGGTAGGACCGCGGGTGACCCGGATCGACCAATTCTCACGTTAGCGATTTCTATAAGTGTAGGGATATTTGTGGTGTATCGGTGGCAAACCAAATAAATGAGCAGCGTGTATTCCTCTTCCCTTTTGTTCCTTTTTTTTGGATGTACGGGCATCGCCTATACCGCCCACACCATGGGCGCTAAAGCCCGTTCCTAATGGCTATCTTCGCGTACCAGAAAAGAAAGTGCAGACAAATTCCATGACCCCTGTGCGCGTCAAGAACGCTTCGTTCACCTGAAATGGAGAGGACAAGCACAGGTCAAAGAAGAAGAAAAAAGAAATATATCAAGGCAAAAGAGAGGGAAAAAGAAACAAAAGGCCAGTGAAATCAGACAAGCACCATCATCAACCATGGGTTCCCACTTCTTTTTTCCTCTTCTTTTTTTTTTCGCTTCGGTCCAGGAGATACAGCAGTAGCGTGAATGCTAACAGTGGTGGCTCAAGCACAAAAAGCCCTTGCACTGGCTTGTAAGCATTTTGTCAAACCATCAGTGTAACCAAACCTCTTTCTTTTTTTTTTTACGGCCCCAGGAATCCTGACAGCATTGATTTCCTCATCAGTGAGGGATGGGCTGTAAGTTGAGCAAATTCTTAATGGGTATCCAGTACTATCCACTTCTGAATAATATTTTAATTTCAATTATAAATTTATAAATGATTTGACTTTATTTAAAGGTTAAACTTATTTCTATGTAAGAAAGATACTGAAATTAGGAACCAAATGACGTCTTGAGAACGGGAGGAAAAATAGGCAGGGCTAAGTGCACTGCTCTACACGGGTGGACAAGGGGAAAGCGACACACAAACAAATGCCAGATTTCAATTTCTCAGCAGATAAAAGAATAGCAAGCAGAAGAGAGGGCAAGTGTGAGAAAGCATAGCAAGCAGACGACAGAGCAAGTCAAAGAATAGCAAGTGGGGAATATCATAGCAAGCAGGAGAATGGTAAGGAGAGGAAATAACAAAAGCATAAGAACAGTAGGCAAAGAAATAGCAAGGAGAAGACAGAGAAGCCAGAGAATAGCAACCAAGCAGTGCAAGGGCAATGCTTGACAGGATCATGGAATAGGGTAGCTCCCCCTTCCCCCCTCCCCTTCACCTCTCTTTCCCCCAACTCTGCTTGGGTACAACCGTACAACTTCACGAATGGTGGAGAAAATTAGATCAGTCGGATTAATTTCTCACCAGGGGTAGGGGAAGGGGGCAAAAGGTAGGGGAAAGGGGAAAGGCGGGGGAGGAGTAAGGGAGAGGGAGGGAAGGTGGGGGAAGGTGGAGGGAGGGGGGAAGGAGGGGGAAGCCAGAGCTGGAGGGGAAGGGGAAGGGGAAGGGGAAGGGGAAGGGGAAGGGGAAGGAATCCCCACGAAGGGCTGACAAGAAAGCAAAAGGAAAGGGTTGAAGAAGGGAAATAACCTTCACCTTGTCGTAAAACGTTCCTCCAGGAACAAATGACGGTGCACGCAAGTCAATGCAGATGTCTGATATTTTCATGGTCCAAATTCAGTTGAACATTCACAGTGGAAGTTAAGTAATTGTTTCTTGTTCATGTCCTTGGAAAAGAATATTACTAAAAAATAAAAGTTGCAAAACAAAAACAATGGCCCCCAAAGTTGAACAAGGGCCCAAAGGCCCCAAACCCTAATTTCAGTTTTAGACCTGTTCGCCAGCGACTGAAAGTGGGGGTCACAGTTTAACCCCACGTGAGTGGGAAGGCAACAGAGCCGAGGGGGAAGTCCAGAGATGGGGAAGAGCAAAACACACACTAGAATGAACACTGAAAACTGACCACGTCAATTGAGTATAAGATTTGGAATTTTATTTATTTATCGAAACCAGGGGGGCGCTGCTAGGGGAGTTGGTAAGCGCACCCCCCCCTAGCCGATTCCCTCTGGGTACTCCGATCTATCTTGGTGGCAAGCTTCACCCGCTGGAAACCGGGTCCAGCATCCCGTTACACAACTAAAGTCACCGGGGCCGTCAGATTGGAATCTTGATCAATCGCAAGAAGGAAAAAGGCAAAACAAGGACTGGCAAAAAAACGCAGTGTGTATGATCTGCATCATCTGTGGCTTTCCGGCTTGAACCTCAAGGTCACTGGGGATAAGACGAAAGAAACTTGTACTAGAACAGCATAGCCGGGTATGCTCCCAATTTAGTGTGTAGCATAGTTCCAGTGCAGCAGTGAGGTGAGCGTGGCCCAATGCACAAATTTGTGATCCACGCGCACCATGTGCACATGCAGTGTGCTGGTCGCATGGCTGTTGCGCACATACATCCCTTTTGTGTCTGTGTGTGTGTGTAGTCAAAGAACCCCAAACTCTTTCCTCATTCCACCCACAAATCATCCACAAAACATGTGTGTGTGCGTTGTCATATTCACTATACACTCAAAAAAAGCATGACTGTACCAGACTGTTTTTTTTTTGTGTGTGTGTGTGTGTGTGGAAAAAAATATCACCACAACTTCCCCTATTGCACCCAGATGAGTAGATCCAAAGTCATGTCAACTTGTCCTGTATTGCAGACAATGAAGCATTCTCAAGATGAGCCAATCCACCAATGAAACAGTTTTGCTTGTGAAGTCAATATTTATTCAGAACCTTACCTTTAAACAAGCAAGAAATCTCACCTTTACACAAGCAATGCAACACACTTGAGATGGGCCAACCCAGCAGTAAAAACAGTACGAGACACAATAAATTCGTTATATCGTTTTCTTGATTATATTTTCATCAGCTAGCATTGGGAGGCCTCCCATTTTCTTTGCTTTTGTAGTTACCTTCTTACTGTGCCTATCACGTTCAAGCTGGCCATGTTGATGATGGTTGAGCACCAGCTGCCCACATCCCTGTGTGCCTTTACGGCCCAAAAAGAGGCAGAGTAAAAGGGTAATTATATTTTGTCTGTTCTCTCAATGATGCTCATTCATATGCCTTTACTAGTAGTACACAAGGAGAGTGTGTGTGTGTGTGTGTGTGTGTGTGAGAG